TTCTTCCAGCTCTGTTGGGACACCATCAAGGGGGAGTTGATGGAAGCCATTGAATACTTCCATGTGAATGGTGTTTTTGAGAGAAGTATCAATGCTTCTTTTATTACTATTGTGCCTAAGAAAGAAGGTGCATCATCTATCAGTGACTACAGGCCTATTAGTCTCGTGGGGAGCATTTACAAGATTATTTCTAAAGTGCTTTCCAATAGACTCAAGAAGGTTCATGACGTGTCTGTTTCGTCCTCCCATAATGCGTTTGTGGAAGGTAGGCAGATCCTGGATGCCGCTTTGGTGGCAAATGAACTTGTAGACTCCAGAAGGAAAAATAGAGATTTCGGCTTACTATGCAAGTTGGACCTTGAGAAGGCTTTTGACCATGTCAATTGGGAGTTCCTGGATTTCATTATGATGCGGATGGGGTTTGGAGCAAGATGGAGGGGATTGATCAAGTTCTGCATTTCCTCAGTCGGATTCTCTATCCTGGTTAATGGTAGCCCGTGTGGTTTCTTTAGCAGCTCCAGGGGTCTCAGGCAAGGAGACCCCCCTATCCCCCATGTTATTCATTCTAGTGATGGATGTTTTGAGTAAAATGATGGATCGAGCGGCGGGCGGAGGCTTCCTGAGAGGATTCTCAGCTCCGATCGGGGTGCCCAGTGCCCGAAGAGTCTCTCATTTGCTCTTTGCGAATGACACCCTGGTTTTCTGTGATGCCGATATGGATCAATTGACCTACCTGAAGCAGGTCCTGCAGTGGTTTCAGATAGTATCAGGTCTCAAAATCAATCTCGGCAAGTGTGAGATTTTCCCGGTGGGTGAGGTTGCTAACATCGATGCTTTGTCTTATGTTCTCAGATGTAAGGTGGGCTCCCTTCCCACTACTTACCTGGGTCTCTCATTGGGCGCTTCATATAAGGATACTACGGTTTGGAATCCAGTAATCAAAAGGGTTGAAAAAAGATTAGCAGGCTGGCAGAAACGGTACTTGTCAAAAGACGGAAAGGAAGTGCTCATTAAAAGCACTTTATCGAGTATGCCCACCTATTACTTGTCCCTGTTGCAAGCTCCTGTCAGCATCACAGAAAAACTATAGCGGCTTCAAAGGAATTTTCTTTGGGATACAGCGGATGGAACTAGAAAGTATCATCTACTGAATTGGCAGACAGTCACTTCCCCAAAGAAGTGGGGTGGACTTGGAGTAAAAGATCTTAAGGTATTCAACAGAGCTTTGTTGGGGAAATGGTTGTGGAGATTCGGGGTGGAGGGAGGCCATAGTAGAAAAGTACGATTCCACGGGAGGGGGTTGGAGGACCAAGGCAATCACAACACCTTTCGGGTGTGGCATGTGGAGGAGCATGAAGAATTGGGAATCCTTCAGTGGCAACATCTCTTACAGGGTGGGCGATGAAGGAGAATCAGCTTTTGGAATGATAGGTGGTGTGGAGAGGATACTCTGAGGGTCTCTTTCAACCACGTCTTCAGAGTTTCAAACCAGAAGGAATTGATGGTCCAACAGATTCGTAAGGAGCATGTAGGGGGGGTAGTATGGAACCTCTCATTTAGAAGGATCTCCAAGATTGGGAGATTGCGGAGCTCCAAGACTTATTGACACTACTATATGGGCAAGACAGGCCTCAGCCATCATGTGATTCCTGGAGATAGGTTTGCGTGGTGATGGTCTGTTCACCGTAAAGTCCTTTTACCAGAGTATGTTGGTGAGAAAGGAGGTCTCTTTTCCATACTCCTCGATCTGGATTCCTAAGGCGCCTACAAAGGTGTGCTTTTCGCATGGCTAGCGGCGAGGGAGTGATTTTGACTGTTGAGAATCTGCGAAAGAGGGCAATTACACTTGTTAGTTGGTGCTATATGTGTAAAAGCTCAGGGGAAGAAGTTGATCATCTTTTGTTGCATTGCCCTGTGTCCTCGGCTTTGTGGAGGGTGATCATGAACTTTTTTGGTGTTCAATGGGTGATGCCAAGCATTGTAAAGGAAATGCTATATAGCTAGGCCGGTTTCCGTAGAAGAAGAAAGAAAAAGGCGTGGAAGTTCGCCCCGTTAGCTCTCATGTGGATAGTTTGGGGGGAGAGAAATAGGAGAGCTTTTGAGGGGATTGAGTCTCCTTTTTCACATCTTAAGAATAGTCTTTTGTATTTGATCGCTTTTTGGTGCACTCATATAGCCCCTATTTGTATGGAAGATTGGGCGTCTTTTGTAGAGAATCATGTTCTGATGTAAATTCTCTACTTTTTGGTGTACTTCTTGTATACGGGAGTACCTTATCAAAAAAAAAAAAAGAGGAAGAAGAAGGAGGAAGAAAGAAAGAAGGATGAGGAAGAAAGAAGAGGGAGACAAAAGACGAAAGGAAAAAAGGGAGAAGAAGAGAAGCCGCAAAAGAAAAAGTGGCATCAAATAGTAACAATAAGGGAAATACGATACACGAATGGAACGAAACAACAGGTAAATACTAGAGATCAAAGAATACAAAAAATACAAGAGTGCTACTAATACTACTAGTAAAGAACGGGGAATTCTCGACTACCTGCTAGTCGTCTACCCTAATTTCTCAACCTCCACACCCTTCTATCCTAGGTCATGTCCTCAGTGAGCTGAAATAGCATCATGTCCTGCCTAATCACCTCTTCTCAATACTTCTTTGGTCTACCTCTACCTCTTCTCAGACCCGTCATAGCCATCATCTCACACCTCCTAACAGGAGCATCAGTACTCCTCTTCACGTGCCCGAACCATCTTAGCCTCAACTCCCGCATCTTGTCCTCCACGGGGGCCACTCTCACTTCATCCCGAATAACTTCATTCCTAATCTTATCTCTCCTGGTATACCATGCCCACACATCTATCCCAGCATCCTCATTTCTGCTACTTTCATCTTCTGAATATGGGAGTTCTTGACTGGCCAACATGCAGCCTCATACAACATAGTAGGTCTAAACACCACTCTGTAGAACTTACCCTTAAGTCTATGTGGCACATTCTTATCACACAAAACACCAGATGTGAGCCTCCATTTCGTCCACCCCCACCAATACGATAAGAGACCTCATCGTCAATCTCTCTGTCACCTTGGATTATAGACCCAAAATACTTCAAACTATCCCTCCTCGGGATGACTTGAGTATCAAGCTTCATATCCACATTTGCTTCATGAGTCTTGTCACTGAACTTGCACTCCAAGCATCCCGTTTTGGTCTTGCTCAACTTGAAACCTTTAGACTCTAAGGTTTATCTTCAAACCTCCAGCCTCGCATTAACCCCGCCTCGCGTCTCGTCAATCAGCACTATGTCATCGATAAATAACATGCACCATGGCACCTCCCCTTGAATGTGCAGCGTCAGCACATCCATAGCCAGGGCAAATAAGAACGGGCTAAGAGTCAATCCCTGGTGCAACTCCATCACAACTGGAAAGTGTTCCGAGTCACCTCCCGTAGTCCTCACCGGAGTTTTAGCACCATCATACATGTCCTTAATCACCTTAGTGTACGCTACCGGAACGCTGCTAACCTCCAAACATCTCCACAAAACCTCCCTCGAGGCTTTATCATATGCCTTTCTAGGTCTATAAACACCATAATAAATATATTTTTTAATTCAATTTATTATAATGAGTTAAAAATTAGGCCAAAGTCATAAGCGGGCCCCTAAAGTTGTCCGCATTTTTCATTTTGACACTTGAATTAGCATTAGTACCTATTGAACACTATAACAACTCAAAAAGAGTACCTATTAGACACATTTTGCTGACATGTTGAAGTGTGTAGGTTTCACTCTCTCTGAGCGCGTCCAGCATCTCAAAGTTGGTTAATCCATTTCTATTGCTTTTATGTTTTCCTTTCTCTTTCTCTTTCTCTTTCTCTTTCTCTTTCTCTTTCTCTTTCTCTTTTACTCTGCTTTTGCTTGACGCCCATCGACCACCTCATCGGAAATTTTCACGGCCGCTCTCCCTCACTACTACCACCACAACCACCATCCACGCTTTCCTTTTCTGATCTGGAACCACCAAGAACCACCACCGGCAGCACTTTGAGAGCATGCCAACAAAATACTCAATTTCACCAAAGAGCCATTGAAGAACCTAACTGACCATCTTCGGACCTCAAAGAACTCCACCCCATAACCTCTTCTTCCATTACAAACACAAACTCATTCAGTTATACACCTCACCACCTCAATTTCCTTACTTTATTCTCACAAGTTAAGACTCCCTCTTCACAAACCTCACTGTCCCCCCACCACCCCATCTTCTCATTTCACCAAAACAACCAACAAAAACATGAACCATGTGGGAAAAAACATGAATCTTTAGCTAATCGACAAATTGACACAGAAGAACTAGAAACAGAAAAGATTCTAGGCAAAAGTTTGGTCACCGGAGCTTTGATCAGAAAATCATTCCGGCGACGTCCCTACTCTCTTCATTTTTGTTTCCCTTTATCTCTTTTCTTTAACTGAACCTAAAAGAGGGAAGAAAGGGGGAATAATTGCTGGTGGGGTGGGGGAACGGCAGCGGGTGGTGGGGGGTTTCGAAGAGGAAGAAGAATAAAAAGGAGAGTTATTTGTGTTGGCGGTGGTGTTCCATCCTTTTCTTTTTTAAATGCTTTTTTTAATTAGTTAAATAGGTTCAAAAGGCTTCTCTTTTTAAAACCCAAAATGCATTTTTCTAATAATTACTTTTGGCACAAATGCCACATGTCATCGCTTGATCATCCATTTGCCACAATATTCGAGTGTGAGTTACACGCGCCGTATTTTTTTGACTGGTTTTCATTTTGTGTTTTATAGGTACACATTTGTTAAGGTTGGAGTGTCTAATAGGAAAATGGGTCCGTTGAGGTGTCAAAGTGAAAAATGCGAGCAAGTTTAGGGGGCGCTTACGACTTTGGCTTAAAAATAAGGAGTGTTCTAATCTAATCTTTCTCCATCCACAAATAATGAAATAACTTGTAGCAAGTAAACAACTAGCAAAGTTGTGATACATAGCATACCAGTTGATTCATCAAAAACCTCCTGCCAATATTCAGGAAGTACCGAACACACCCCGGAAACTAGTGCAGGAGCCTCAGTAGGTCTATCCCACTGACTTTTCATAGTACTTTCATTATAAAAATATAAAGCACCACTTGCAGGGTCCCTTGCTTCAATCTGCATTCTCAAATTACAGAAAATTATCAACACTATAAACATAAGTGTTTTTAAAAGGGAAAAGTGCAAGTGACAAGATCTATGGTAATTAAAGTGAAAATCGACAAGTAAAGTGTGTGCTTCTTTGAAGTGAAGCGCACAGTTCATGGAAAATTATAACATACCAAATACATGAATTTATTACTACAAAAATCAAATTGCTGTTAAAATAACTTACTTCAGCATTTTATATACAATAATGACGACATTAATCAAATTCCTCAAAGTTGAGATGTAAAGAATCGAATGTTTCTTGTATGGATCATTTTGGCTTCATTGTTTGAAGAGCACACTTCTCTAAAGCGTTCATGAAGCGATAACCCCTCGTTTCGCATTGCTAAGTGATGGCTTTTTAATAACAATGTTAAACATCATGTTGACTTTCCCCAAAGAGTTCTAAATTGCTAAAAATCACATGTGGGTTCAATTTATATTTGAAAAATACAACAGAGACATAGTATCATTTATTGATGCTACTAAGACAAGTACAAGAACTGCTTTAAGGACATATTTCTTGGTTCACTACTGCCACTAGGTTTTTTATTCATTTTGTGTCATTGACTCATTTATTAGCAAAAATCGTGGAATGGAACCTTAACCCGCAAAGCACACTTTTGCTGAAGAAAGGCACAAATGAAGAAAGACGATAAATAACACACACATATTATATATGTATACTGTATTGTATATGTATCAGAAAGAGTAGGTATATTAAAACAACATTATATGCAGAAGGAAATTGTAAAAACTACAACTAAGTGAAATAGATGAAGCAAATATCATTTAAATCAAGTTAAAATAACATTATAATTTTTTGTTCAATGCAAAGACACAACATAAATTTCTTTCTAGCCATCTGTAAACCCACATTAAAACTCTCTTTCCACTTCAAACTTTCAGCTTAACATTGTCCCAAAAAAAATCCCAAGGGTTTTTTATTTGCTTCCAAACAGAGATCCCATATACTCCTCTTACATGGTTAGTGCACCACCCTTCAGTCTTTCCATACTTAACAGTACTATGATTTTACCCCAGGGTATTCAAGTGACAAGGGTTGAGGGACTTGCGATTTTGGTCACAGGTTCGAGCCCTGCACCATGCAAATTAAGCCTTGTATTTAAGTGGAGACGGGTAAAGGGGCAGGCCCATTATCCCCGAGTTTCGAAGGTTGCAATTGGTCCTACGGGTTGATCCTAGAAGGATTTCTCGGTCATAAAAAAAAAGATTTTAACATAGCTCATTTTCCCATCTTTAAATCTCCAGTGCCATTTCAACAACAAAGTTTTTTCTGAAGTCCCAAATATTTGACTCCCTAGCCACCAGATTTCTTGTCTTTTGCCTTTAGCAACTGTACCCCACATAATCAAATGGATTCTCCTTTTGTCTTGACATCCTTCCTATAAAAAGTTACTGCTTCTTACATGGGGCCAATTTTTTCACATTTTTCTATCACTCCCTGCCATATGTTAAACATTCTTTAACTCAGCACCCAAGGGCATACCCAGATATGTACTAGGAAAACATTCAACTCCACAGCACAGGATGCATGCCAGCTTATTATTAGCATTGATAGAAAAGATGCTATTTTAGCCCAGTTAATATGCGATCAGGCTTCTCTTCTATTGAATAAGTGGACTCTGCCCTTTGACTTGAGCATTGAATTGGCTCTTTTTTTAATAGCTCAAGCTCTGAACCTGATCCAATTCGTTTCGTAGTCATAGCTTATTGGCCCGAGATTCTCCAATGAGTGGCTTGTAGTCGTAGATATGGCTTTTAAGCAGAGAGTACAAATGCTCTAATTCCCAAAATATCAATCAATAAAAATCAAATTAGATTGAAGCTTTTAACAATCATAAGCCAATACCCCGTAATTATATTCAGGTATAGCTGTCTAACACAAAAAAGCAATAAATTAAGAACTTCAAAGGGAAAGCTTAAGCAAGTATAGTAAGCCATAACTCACCCATCCCACAGGCAAATTGGTATCTGATGTCTTTGATAATTGTTCCATTGAGCTCTGAAATGTGCAGATTATTTCAGAGAGAGTTGTTAGAAAAATTTCATTTGGAGACAAAGTATGAAGAGGATAACTGGATAATGAAAAATGAGCTCTCAGAAAACGGAGGTTGTTAGGCATTAACAACAAGTATCTCATAAGAACCAAAAAAGAAATCTTGGTTTATCACAAAAATTAGAAGACAAAAAGAAGTCTAATTCAGGATTCCAGTCGCCCAGGACCATTTGAAGTATGTCAAATTTAAACAGGGACTAGGAGGACAGTGTGTAATGCATAAATCATAATCAGCTTACATTGCTTGATATGGCAAGGTTCTCTATTTTTGAATCATCGTTCAGAATACCTCGAGCCCTCAACTTCTGCTTGAGGTATTCAGGCAACTCTTTACCAGCAGAATTATGTCCAGGACCCCCAGTAGGCTCTGTACCATGTTGATTTGTTCTGTGACCAGTGATTGTATTTGTCTCTGAATATGAAAAGGCAAAAACAAATAAAACAAGAGAATATAATATAGAATTTAGAACAAGATGATAAATACATTGGCCACAAAACAGGAAGCCAGTCTTACTGGAGATCGAGACATCGGGATTTGAAGCACTGTAATAAGCACCTCCACCTGGCACACCATATCCATTTCCAATTTCCATATTACCTGGCAAAGGAGAAATTTAACCATTCCTCATCCTGTTGTAATAACACAAAAATTTGAAGTCAAATCGAACTAACTCATCATAGGATAACTGAAGAGGATTATCCATCTAGAACTATTTAACACCTCTTGTTACACTTCCAAGTTTCATAATACGGTTCTAGAGCATAATATTTGTGAAAAGGAAAGAAGCAACCTGTCTCCCCAGTATGTGAAATTCTGCCTCAAAATAGGTGACGTTTGGCCATAATTTCCATAATTAATTTTTTCCTTTTCTTTCTTGTCAATGCCTAAATAAGAACACTTTTCTGATAAAAGTAATGTCCATACTAAGAACTTCATAAAGGGCAGAAACAGTGATTTGAATTTCGTGCTACTAATCATGTACGGGCACCCATGAAAGATAACTGTTTTACAAAGCCATGCCAAATCTAAAGCCCCGTCTATTTTGGTGACGCTATTTACCACGGAATACTCTAGTCTTTATTTGCTTGGATTATTCCAATTTTAGGCCTGCTGTGGATTTGTTCAATATAGAGAAGAGATGGAGTGAGCAAAATCTAAATCTCATTGACCCTACCATTTCTCAGAGTAAATTCCACAACAGTATAATATCACCATAGATAAACATAGTAGGGTCAACTATAAAGTGGTTCAACTCCCAAATTTTTCCAAACAAGAAACAAGATCCAGTTTCATACGAGATCTGGTAATCACTATGCTAACAGAATCAATCTATTACTTTTGTTCATAAGATAAGATAAGTAGAGTATCAATCTATTATTACAATCTAAAGAGAGCCTGAACTCTGAGTTGCAAAGAACTTAGATAAAGCTTAGGAGTTACAACTTTCAGTTTTGAATGTAAACTGAAAGCACATCAACTGATCATGACAACAGACATCATTGCCATTAGGACAAAAAGTTTGAAAAACTCTTCACCAATGAGTTAAGCTGTAGTGGGATAACATTTTCTCTAAATAACAACCAGATTTCATTTGATAGTCTGCATTAGCTTGCTCACTGTAAGCTAATTTTCCATGAATGCTTTCACTAGTGTCATGAACAGTGTCAAACAAGTCTTTGTTAGAAATAAACGTAAATTTGCAAACAAGAGGCGAAATTAGAAGGTAAAGCAGTCCAATCAAAAATTTCAACCTTATAAACATCCTTAATTTAATGATATTACAATTTCAACACAAAACATATGATATTAAACTGTAACTAAATGATATTCTAATCCATGCCAATTCCCAATGAAATTTTTTGGGGGAGTTGGCATGCACAACCATTAGATGATCGGAGGCCCATGCAAAATAAAATTGAATGGAAAAAAGAGTTTTTGAGCATTGAGATAAATGGCTCCAACTTTCATTACATGACCAAGAAGCAGCCTGTTCAAGCTATTAGAAATTTCATGTACCTAACAAAAATATTTACAAATACAAGCCACCATTTTATGTATTAAATAGTTTTAAGTCTCCATTTCTTAGCTAGTGTTTGATGATTATTGATGTTGAAACTCTATGTGAGTTGTAGGGGAAAACCTTTTATCTCTTCAAATTGAATCTCCCTTGGATTCTTCAAGTAGGTAATCCATGTATGAGTTCACACTCTCTTTCCCATTGGGTTATAATCTTGTAATTGATTGTTAGTTAGTAGGGCTCAAGTTTAATATATCTGTGTTTGGCTAATTACATCTATTGCTTGATTCTATCCTTTATTTCTCTATTTCTATCTCTATCTTCTAATTTCTATCAAGTTTTGATCTAATTATTTTTTGATAAGGAATTTCTATCTAGTTTTGATAGCTTGTTTCATTTCCCTTTTCCCGCTGAGCTATCACACTGGAGTCACCAACTAGAAATGGCATGTTTGTTTGTAGGTTTTGGGAGAAATATAAGAGAAGAAATTCAAATTTCAGCAGCGATTTGGTGGTCTAAGTGGAAGAAAGAAAGTCAACACTTTCTGAAAATGAAAAGGAATATGTAATTAATGTCAAGCACAAATGCACATTTCTATTATCTTTTGGTGCAACACGGCTGTAGTAAATATGATGAACTCATGATTGGCTTTTGGGCAGATTACACAATCTCTAATGTTGCAATACTTTTCGACATAATTATTTCCAGCATTCACTGTTGCTGGCAAATAATAAAATACAGTACCTCTTTTTTTCATATGTAGAAATAAAAAACCTATTAACTCCTCCTCCAAGGTAACATGATGAGTTGTTCCCAACAAAATCAGCCAAAATTAGCACATAAAACAAAAGGTAAAAGAGTGAGGATCATGCAGATAAAGCCAATAGGTGTTAAAAATTCATCTTGTTGACTTTCCGTGCCTTCATACGGTGCAAATAGACATACATCTATATTTGGGACTTGGGAGGGAAAAGGTTTTTTTTTTCCAATCACTGCCAAAACATTTCAAAGGGACATTGTTTCTGGCAGTAACCATTGGTAAAATGTATATTTCAGTTGTTTCATGGCATGAGAAAATATTGAAAGTGGAAAAAAAAGGTTTTAAATATATTTATTGCATGTGTTGATTTGTGACATCATTACAAGGATATCAACTGTTCCATATAAATTGCACCACGATACAAACCTTCCTCGGGCTGTGACGCCTTGCCACGCTTTAAGGCCATTTGCACTCTATGGTCTGCCGTCATTTGGAGTAAATGCTCCTATAAATTGCAGTTAGCAGATAGATTTAGAACGGGCAACTAGAAAATGTGCTACCGTGAGAGATATCACAACAAAGGTAACAAAGAGTCCAAAACAGACTCAAAACACCTTTAAAGCATTTGGGTCATGACGACCAGAGAAAATATCTGAACTATCTTCAGGTCCGCTTGCAGCCCTTGCTTCTCTGGATTTGAGAAGTGAAATTTTCGTAAAACATCCATTTGTTTAGTATAGTTTTAGCTTCATAAAATTTTAAATGGAAGCCAATTAAGACAAACCTTTGACTTTGTATTACTTTCTGAGCTGCAATTTCCTGTGCAGGCAAACAAATATAGATCAATAAAAAAGAAGAAAGAAATAAAGCACCTATCAATAGGGTACAACAGACCTGTTCATGCAAAACAGCATTCTGAGCAGCACTCTCAAGATCATTAGTACTTTGTGGCTGCAACTTTAATCCGTTAACAGATTCCAAATTGGACGGCAACGTATTGAGTACAGCCTCAGAAAACTCTTGTCCAGAGGTACGAAAAGCTTCAGAGCAAGGTTGTATAGAAGGGGCCACAGGGAAAAGAGTGCCATCGCCATTGCCAGCATTGTAATGAGAATTAGCAGTTTTCTGAAAGGAGTGAGTCAAATGGGCTGCAGGATTATAAGTTGGCACAAGCGGTGAAGATTTTGACATAGAAACTCCAGGTGGAAGTGGCTGTTCAGTATGGTCATCCATAAGCTTCAAATATCGAACATAGATATCCAATGTCTCCCAGTTCCAAGACTTTGAAGGGTCAAATATTAACACGATACCAAAGCTGGCCAAGAATCAGTCCATCTGCATACAGAAGTCTTTGAAGGATGAGTTCCATAGACACATATTATTGCTGCACAAGTTGACTGGTGAGAGAAGGATCCATAGTAGGTCATAACCAATGTCTTCAATAAGCAGAAAAAGGAAGAAATAGATAAACTGAGGTGTGGCTTTAGCATTGGGTGAACTGATCCAATTCAGGACTCCATTTTTAAGAAGAATGGAGAATGTTCTCACAAAATGCTTTTCTGTCAACCCATTTTTCTTTTTCCGGGGAAGCTTCCCCCAAGTTGAGAAAATTTGAGAAACCTGTTCACAATTTAATAGATCACTAGAAGACATGGTGTTTCATCCTAAAACTCTTAAAGAAACAAACAAAATGCAATGACTTTTCTCTCATTGATCTACCATTCGAACTCAAGTAAGCACCTGCATCATTAATCAAGAATAGAATAGATGATTGCTACCGTTGAGTCCCACATTGGGTGGGAGTTAACAAATATGATCTTGGGAAATCTTCACCTAATGAGCTAGCTTCTAGGGTTGAGTTAGGATCAAAGTCCATTTCTTTTCTTTAACATGATATCAGAGCCAGGTTCATCCCACTTTACCCAATGTTGGGCCCTCAATTATATTGTCCACGCTCAAAATGTCCAGTCCTAGGCGTGCGAGGGGGTGCTGAGTCCCACATCGGGTGGGAGTTAACAAATGGATCTAAAATTATATGGTCTTGGGTAATCTTCACCTTAGAAGCTAGCTTTTGGGGTTGAGTTAGACCCAAGGTCTATTTATTAAATAGCTACTCATGCAACCAGCAGAAAAGATTTGATCTGAAACAACATGGAACAGTTAACCCTCAGGGGTTGGCCTGGTGGCAATTAACTTGAGCCTTGGGTTTTGCTCCCTTTCAAGGTCTCAAGTTCGAAACCCACTGGGTGCAAATAATTTCTGAGGGCCATCGGACTGGGTAAAACCTGAATTAACCGTGGTGCACTTGCGGGAAACTCCTTGCCGAGGGCCTGTGCACCCCCGGGATTAGTCGGGGCTCGTAGAGACTCGGACACCCGGTGCAAATCAAA